TAATATTCGTATATTTTTACTTATTTTTTTATACTTGATAATGCAAACGCCTAAATAATAATAATAATTTATTTTAGACAGAACGCACTAGGGTCAATTTTATGAATATAAAATTTATAATAATCTACTAAAAGAAGGGCTTCTTCAGCATTCATAGATCTCCCTACCGCCTATCAGCGTATAATTGAATTTTTGATCACAGTTAATTGCAAAATCTTTTACTAATAGTCCTTGGAACTGAGGTTTATGACAGTTAAGGATAACTCAATTTTGTAATACGTCCACTTGAATGTTTTGCAAGGACAAATTCAGCATCGGACTATAATAAAGACTATGCTCCAGTGGATGATGGTATTCTATCATGTAGATAAAACTAAGTGCAGCAGATTTGGGGAAATTGTGAAGCTGAAACTGGGGTTGAGATGCTGCAAAGTGGCAAACATGTTACGTTGATAACTTAAAGGCGAATACAAATGTGCATCAAAATCTTTATTTACATTACAAACAACTCCTTGGAATGACAAGGATTAAAACTTTATTGTAGGATGTAGCAAGTCAAAATAATCTAAGGTCAAGGTACTTGCTCTAAGTGGTTGAATTGTATATACATGTGAAAGCGAAGACAAGGAGGTCCTGCATGCAAAAGATCAACTAAGATTCATGAGATAGATTACTAGCTTTATGAAAGGCTAATCAATAGGAATGTGGTTACAATGAGGAACTGATTAGCTATACTGAAACAGATGTATGTAACCAAATAAAAAGTAAAAATAAGCTAGGAATAAAATTAATATTTTGAATAAAATGAGTTTACTAGTTTGATGAGGCCAACTTTCTTCGGGGCCTAAGGTACCTAATAATCTAAGAGCAGGAGTCTACACCCGATAGGCAGGAGTGATAAGGTTATTCATTTCGAATTCACTCATGGCCAAATTATACCGAATATTATTAGAATAGACAAAACTAAAGCATGAAGGTAATTCTTTAGGCAAAATTATTTGCATATAACAAGTGTTTAAAAGCACAATAGCTGCAAATACCCGTTTCCAAGACAACAGTTACTTTTCCGTCATCTTTTCAATTTCCTACAGTTCATTTGATAAAAATGTCGTAACATAACCATATCTGATGGTGAACACTGATAAGCCTGTGGCTAAGAAAAAATCAATGTTTTTTAAATTCCTATTATTGATGAGGACCACCTCACTACATCCGTACACACCATCTGTCTATTCTAAAATCGAAAAGCAACTTTACTTCTTTTATAGATCTGCTTCAGATTAGATTCTATTATACATACATACATGCTTGAATGAATAATATATAGATTATTTGTTCTTATATTTTTAGGGGAACGTATAGTCTGAAAGTGTTTGATTAGCCCTCTTTATGAAAGCTTTTTAATGTTTAAGTATAAGAAATATAGTTACTTTAAGGGAGAATAAGAGTAAAACGAGTAATAATTCTATATTTTGAAATTAACTCTACCTCGATTCAGTGAATTCATCCCAAAACGAGCAACTAGTGATAGCCTCAAGGAATACTCGTTTGTAGGAGAAAAAGGAACGATGAGATCAATGAATAAGAAGAGATTCTATTGCGAGTAAAATTGAATAATTATGATTATTTATTTACTGGAAGCCATTAAAACTAAAAGTTAAAGGGAAACTTATTTGAAATGAACTTTGAACCAAAAGCTATAACTGGACGCCACAGGCCCCTAGTACACAATAAAATATTTGCCAAATTAACCCAAATCAGCATTATAAACACAATATCAAACATTACGTCAGATTGGTGGATCACTCGCTTAGACAGAAGTTGTAAACGGGGCAGCTCGTAGCGATTGCTCTGACTGATTACTTGTATGAATACTCATTCGGCTAGCCAACCGAGTAGTTGGCAAGCTTGCGGAGATGGTTAAGCCCTCAGTCAGGCATGATGGAAGAGAGCCTCGGCCCGGCCAGAGGTGCCTAGCTGCATCTTCGGATCGAGCAAAGTGGTAGACCCGCATGCGTGGGGTTTGTTTGGCCGCCGGGGATGGATGTGGTACTGTGTTTTGCTTTAATGAGCTCGAGCTAAGGCCATTTATTGTGCCTGAAGGAGAGAAGAGATGGCTATTCTGTGGGCTTCCGACAAGTTTCAAAGATGCGCAACGACCTAAGTTGAGCAAATGCGCAACAGACTTTGGCTTGCCTGTCCCACTTGCTGGAGCATGAGGCAAAGTCGTCGAAGATACTGCAGTATTACGGCTGAACAGCAGGTTCTGGAGCGGGGACTGGGGCGACTTAGCGGAGTCAGCATCAAGTGGTGTCAAAAAAAGAGGTTTTGGACAAATAAAATCTCGCTT